CTGCCAAGCACAGCTCGAACGCAGCTCCAATCGCTGCCAAGCACAGCTCGAACGCAGCTCCAATCGCTGCCAAGCACAGCTCGAACGCAGCTCCATCGCTGCCCAACGCAGCTTATCAATCGCTGCCCAACGCAGCTTATCAACCGCTGCCCAACGCAGCTTATCAACCGCTGCCCAACGCAGCTTATCAACCGCTGCCCAACGCAGCTTATCAACCGCTGCCCAACGCAGCTTATCAACCGCTCCCATGAGCCCCACTTAGGAGCGAATTAAGGAGGTGGTTACACCCCTTAATCCCCTATAAATAACTGAAAATCAATTCAGTTCGGGGTTCGGTCAGTTGGAACTTCTTGGCAGCGAAAAGAGGATCCTTCATCCTTCGGTTGGAGCTTTGGAGATCGGCAATAAGATCTTCTTCATCCTTGGCTTATAACCGACTTTCGGTTAAATCAACTCTTTCATAGAGTTTTAAACTCGTTCAGAGTTCTCCACAACGTCAAATCGTGAGGAGAAGACTATGTTCCAGTGAAACAAGACGTCGGATCGTCAACGAGAAGCAAACTCGACGCGAGCATTCGAGGGAGGCATCTCATCGCCACCGTGAAGAACCCAGAATTAAACAAAGGAGAGAATCCAGATCATTCTCTTCTCTTTTGTAATCAGGAAATCCAATTGTAACTGAGATTAAAGGAATACAAATCAATTTTCCTTCGTTTCTTTTACTGCAAAATTTTCCAACAAACAAACCCCTTCATGACTAATTTGGCCTTGTATCTCTTCCTTCCATCACTCTCCTACTTGACTCAGTAAACCTACTTGTTATGTAGGGCCTTCTTCTGGACAGGTAGCTGGGCTAACTCCCATGTCTTGTTCGAGTGGAGAGAATCCATCACTTCCTGCATTGCATGCTCCTACTGCTGAGATTCGCTCACTTGCATAGCCTCCTCATAGCATTCTGGTTCTCCGCTATCTGTCAAAAGTATGCAGTCTAGTGACGAGAGATACCTGGGATTCAGTTTGGGTATCCTGGATGACCTCATAAGCTCCTCACCCTGGGTAGTCGGTTCTGCACCTGGAGTCTCCTCCGTTCTTTGGTCAGAATTGACGTTGTCTCCCCCATTTGGAAGTTCCTCCAAATCTATGTACTCGATGCGTCCGCATACGTAGTGCTGCTCCCACTGCTTTGGCCCGCCTTAGCATTGTCCCTACCTTGTACATCACTTCCTTATTGAATATGACGTCTCGGCTTCTGATGATCTTCATGTTCTTCTCATCCCAAAGACGATACCTGAACTCATCAATGCCGTACCCAATGAATGTACACTTTAGTGACTTAGCTTCCAGCTTGTCTCTAACATGATCACTGATAGGGACATATGTCACACAACCAAAGACTCTCAAGTGTGAGAGATTAATTTTCTTACCACTTCAAACCTCTTCTGGAATCCCAAAGTCCAATAGAACTGATGGCCCAGGATTTATCAAGTACGCTGCTGTATGCACCGCGTCCGTCCAAAAGATTTTAGGTAGACTTGCATGTAGATCCATGCTCCTTGCACGCTCTGTCAGCATTCTGTTCATCCTTTCTGCTACACCGTTTTGTTGCGACGTCCTAGGAGTAGTCATCTCCAAACGAATCCCATTCAGAGCACAGAACTTCTTGAACTCCACCAGTTCATATTCTCCATCATTGTCTGATCTCAGCCACTTCACTTTCAGATATGTCTCATTTTCCACCATGGCTTTTCACTTCTTGAAGATATTGAACACCTCTGACTTGTGCTTCCTGAAGTATACCCACACATTCCTCGAGTGATCGTTAATAAAGGTGACGTAGTATGCCGAACCACCAAGAGAAGACATGCTAGCTGGACCCCATATATTTGTATGAACAAGCTCTAGCTTGTGAGCTTTAGGTGATCTTTCACCCTTTAGAAAACTAACTCTCTTCTGCTTCCCAAAGATGCAGTCTTCACAAACACCGACTTTCACCGAATCAATGCCTGTTAGCTTTCCTTCTGAGTGAAGAACATTCATACCCTTCTCACTCATGTGTCCCAGCCTATTGTGCCATAGATCTATGCTCTCCTTGCCTGCGGCAATCGCGAGGGTGTCACTCGCGTGTGAAGTTAGGTAGTAGGTACCGGTCTTATTGCCTCGGGCAACCACCATTGTATCGTTGGAGATTTTCCATGAATCTCCGGTGAATATTATAACATAACCTTCTGCTCCAAGCTGACCAACCGAAGTAAGATTCCTCTTCAACTTCGGTACATGTCTAACATTCTTCAGAGACCACTTGGAACCCTTCAATTGTATTTGAACGTCGCCTCTTCCAATGACACTATAGGGTTCATTATCCCCCATGTATACTTTTCCAAAGTCCCCTTCTATATAGTTCTGAAATAGCATTCTATTAGTAGTAGCGTGGAAAGAGGCTCCCGAATCAATGACCCATGAATCGGAATCGCTATCCATGGAGAGAATCAATGCATCTTGCACAATATGATCCTCCTGCTCATTTTTCTTTGGTGATTTACAGGTAGAAGACATGTGGCCCTCCTTACCGTAGTTCTAACATTTCTCTTTGATGGGTCTCACCTTCGAGTTAGACCTCTTCTTCTTCGACTTCGATCGATTCCTGTTTTGGTTTCTCCTATTATGGCTTATGCCTCTCTGCTCGAGACTTAGGGCTAAACCTGAACCTTCTGATTCATTCGATTTTCTTCTAGCCTCCTCGGATAGAATCATAGCTACCACCTTGTTCAGCTTCAACTTATTCTTTCTCGTCGAGTTGTTGATTACGGTCACGCAACCTGCCCAACTATCCGACAACTGCGATAGTATCAAATAGGGTCTGCACTTCGTCATCAAACTTGATGTTGACTGAAATAAGTTGATCAACAATCATGTTGAACTCGTTGAGATGCATCGTGAAGGAACATCCTTCTACCATCTTGAGGTTGAATAGCATCTTGACGAGATGCACCTTATTTGTAGCTGACGGTTGCTCATACATCGTTGCGAGCACTTCCATAAGCCCCACCGTCGTCTTCTCCATTAATATATTGTGTGCTACAGATTTTGTGAGGGCCAATCGGACCTGCCCCAGGGCTTTTCGATCCAATATTTCCCAGTCCTCGTCGGATTCTTCTTTCTTCTGTCCTTTTGCTTTACCCATCAGCGGATGATAAAGATCCTTCTGGTATAGATAGTCCTCCATCTGTGACTTCCAGTAGGCGAAGTCTGATGTTTCAAACTTCTCAATTTTTGATTTGCCTTCTTCTGCCATTTCTTACACACAGATCTGAACAAGGGCTCTGATACCAGTTGATAGGAAATATCAGATACGCTCTGATACCCGTTGTTGGGGATTCAACCTACCAAACGTTGGTACAACTGCTTCTTAGCTATTCGACCACCTGTCATATATGAACCATATGCGGAATTTGCTCTACTGGATCTTGTGTTAAGTAATGGAAAAAAAATCACAGCAAATTAAAAAATCACAATAACAGAGAACACCAAGTTTAACGAGGTTTGGCAATTTGCCTACGTCCTCGGGAGCCACACAAATAATTTCCTTTATATTAAAGAAAATTACAAAGCTTGTATAAGAGCAGATCTCAACTTGAGATCTCTCAAAAGAAGAACCAACAGAAAACTCTCTGTTGTTCAAATAAAGTGCGAGATTTTCCAACTTGGAAAATCTCCTCTCTCTCTCTCTCTCTCTCTCTCTCTCTCTCTCTCTCTCTCTCTCTTCCCCCTCTCTCTCTCTCTCTCTCTCTCTCTCTCTCTCTCTCTCTCTCTCTCTCTCCTCAATAAATTGCTACAGGAATCTCTCCTTAAATGAGCGAGATTTTTAGAGGAAAATCTTGAGCTCAATAAATGGCCGCCGCCAGAGATAATCGCTGAGAAGAAGAAAACGGAACAACGGCGCGAGTTCTCTTGTGCATAGGGTTCCCTTAAATAGGGAAACCCTAGCCAAACAGCTGGAGACAGTTGTTCTCTAACATCGCAGGCAAAAAGGGGAAGGGCGAAACTTCAAGCTCGCCTGCTCAGTCCCACACTCAACGTTCGCCTGTAAGCTCAAACCCTGCCTACACTTCAACTTCGCCTGCAGAGGGTCTTCGAGTCCGCCTACTCGAGTTCGCCAACCGAACCTCGCCTTCGCCCAACTCCAAGCTCGCCTGCAGCTCATCGACGACTTCGCCTGAAACCCTCAAGCTCGCCTCCAAGGGGGTCGCAATCTCGCCTACAGCTTCTCAACCTCGCTTGAAGGTCGTCGCCTGCAGCTCGACCCGCCTGACGCAGTTTGACCTCGAGTTTGCCTGTAGCCTTCCGCGAGCTTGCCTGAGCTCGTCTTCGCTGTTCGATCTCGCCGGAGGTCAGCCGTCAACGGGGGATAAGGTATGGGTCTACACCCCTTTTTCCAACACACCTAACTGTGATTATCTTCACTTGCATTTCACAATTGTTCTGGTTTTTGTGTTAGCTTCATATTTCGTAGGTACAAAAATAATACGCGCACAAATGATTCTATAGTAAGATATCTAGCTTATTTAGTCTTATTTGAAAAAAAAATTCCAATTGGAGAAGGTCATACAAGTTGGAAGTATGTGCTTGTTCTGCTGTTAAATTACTCTTTAAATTTCTGATGTTAACTTATACTTTTGAAACAATTGAGCATTGCAGCTTTGAAGCAGCTCTAACTTGAAAAGTGAGCTAGTTAACTCTGCATGAAGAGAAACCTTTGGAGATCATGTCTATTTGAGTAACATAAGATAAGCGGAAAGTTTTTAAGTTTTTAACATGTATTCATTATTATATCAAAAAGTAAGGTTCTAAGTTAAGGGATCGCCTTGATTGGAGAGACTTAATTTTTCCTTGTAATTTAACTAGTTGTGTTAGCTTGAATATTGAATTCCACTTACCATGGTATGTTACTCAAACGACTAGCTAGGGATAAATAGCAATTATTACAATTTACTATTTTCTAGGTATGGCTACTGTGGAAGAGGAATCAAGAATGGAATCACTATACTTCGATTTATCCATCATTAAAATTGCTACAGCAAATTTCTCTGACATCAATAAGCTTGGACAAGGTGGCTTTGGCGCAGTTTATAAGGTAATTATACACAGTAGAATGGCTCCCCTCCAATAAAACTTGAATCTACTCTTGGTTAACTGTGAACTAGTTCAATTTCTTTTAGAAAACCTTGGGGCAAACGTCCTTTTTGTTTTTGTTTTGTTATTTAGGGGATGCTGCCTAATGGAGAAGATATAGCAGTGAAGAGGCTTTCAACAACCTCGAGACAAGGAATACAAGAACTGAAAAATGAACTTCTGTTGGTTGCCAAACTTCAGCACCGGAATCTTGTTAGGCTTCGGGGGATTTGCTTGGAAGGAGGAGAAAAGTTGGTTATCTACGACTACATGCCTAACGGAAGCTTGGACAAGTTCTTGTTTGGTATTTCCCTTGAAAAATCGATATATATAGCCAACTCCACTTGAACCCTCTAAAACTCCACTTAAACTTCTAGAATGTTTATATGAAATTATTACAATTTTCAAACTTTAAATAGAATAATGACTCCATGACAATTAATCAATTCAATTAAAAGACGCAAAAACACCAACATGCGGTGCACAGCAAAACTTTTTCTGTTGGAGCGGTTACAGCGCATGTTAGCAGGCGATTTTTCCTGCTAACATACGCTACTGCTGAGTTCTTTCAATGGCGAAAAAGAAAAAGTTTAGCGGGAAAAAGATCCTTAAATCGGGATTAGGAGCTTCTATCTCATCTCCGATCGATCATGCTGATTGTTTGGATGTTAATTCTGTTGATAGTGAGGATGAAGATAGTTTCCCCATGGGATCGATGGGTCCAAAAGGAGCGAGGAAATCCAAATCGATGACGGAGATTTTGTTAGCTTCAAGTTCCCTAAATGGATCAAATCTTGATTCAATGTCTTCTCTAAAGAAGGGAGCTCAAAATCTTTCGTTGATGGCGGGGTTTCAAGATCGTCAGCTATCCCCAACGGAGGACCCCTGTAAGTCTTCAAAGTCTTGTAATGGTGGGAAGAACTCTGCTAGGGTTTCTTGGGCAGAGGAGGCCGATTCTGAGTTTCCATCTGGTTCTTTACTTAGCTCTGGGCCTGTGCTTTTGAATTCAACCATTAAATCTATTGATTCTACTGATTCTTTGAATTCAAACAAAAATGATGTTTCACTGACTGGAAATAAGGAGAATAAAGTCAATTCAGAAGAATCTTGTGATCCTCTTTTAGAAAAATCTAAAATCCCTGCAAAGAGCTGGAGTAGCCTATTTTCAGATAACAGGAGGCCTGAAAATGGCATGGTGCTGGATTTTCTGCCTTCTGTCTCAACTGATTCAGTGGTTTTTGATGAAGAGGAATGGAATGAAGGAGCTTCAATGTGGTCTTCATCTGTTGTGGGGCAGGTTCTTGGTTTGAATGCAAGTTTCAAAGCTATGGAAAGTTATGTGCACAAGGTATGGCCTCAATCTCCAGAAATCTGTCTATTAAAGGCAGGTCTGTTTCTGTTTAAATTCAAAGGGAAAGATGAAATGAATGAGGTTCTTTGTAAGGGACCCTGGTTCTTTGGATCTAGACCAATGCTACTAAAACCTTGGTCGATAGATGAAGAAAATATTAAAATTGATGAGTGTGTTTACCCCTTGTGGATTCAATTACCTGCTCTGAGATTAAATTTGTGGAATTCCAAAGGTATAAGTAAAATTGCCAGCTTAATTGGGAGACCTATTGCTACGGACATGTTAACAGCAAATAAACAAAGGCTGTCATATGCTAGAGTCTTGGTAGAGATTAAATTGCCATCCCCCCTTCCTGATCATGTCACCATTCAAGGACCAAATGGAAAATCCTATAATCAGAGGGTGGTTTATGAATTTAAGCCAAGATGGTGTGATTATTGCAAATTTGTGGGTCATGATACCAGTTTTTGCAATAAGAGAACTAAAATGCAGAAATGGATTCCTAAGAAACAAACTACTGGAAACAATAGTCAATCTGGTTCCATACTCCATGCAAATAAAGAAATAGATGAAGTGGTAAATAAGGGAAAGTCTGTAGTACAAGAGCACATGATCACTAGAAATTACCAATCTCCTGTGCATGTGGTGCATGTTTTGGGGGGATCTTCAAATTCTGGAGTTGTGTCTACTCACACAGGAAATCCTGAACTGTCTGGTAATATTGGTAAATCTCCACAGTTTGAACATGATTTACAGCATGGGAACAGGAAATCCTGAACTGTCTGGTAATATTGGTAAATCTCCACAGTTTGAACATGATTTACAGCATGGGAGGAATCTTGAAGTGAATGTGAGTACCACAGTTTGAACATGATTTACAGCATGGGAGGAATCTTGAAGTGAATGTGAGTACTGGTAAGCCTGTTCAAGAGATGGAAACTGAACAAGGGGTTGTGCATGTTGTGCATAGCCAACTACCAGTATCTGATGGTTCTTATGCATATAATCCATGGAGACATGTTCAAGGTAATAAATCTAAGTTGACAGGAAACTCTCTTGGTGTTTTTTCCCAATCTGGAGATAATACTATAAAGTCTGGCAGTAAAAATGCTGGTAATTCTTTTCTATATTTGGAAAATTTGGATTCTGACCCCTCTATAATTGATAGAGGAGGACTGTTCTTTAAATGAACTTATCCTTTTGGAATGTGAGAGGGTTAAATAAACCCTCTAAACAGTTGTTGGTTAAACAGCACTTGCATCTTTATCACTTGTCTTTTATCTCTCTCCTGGAAACAAAGATTAAGGAAAATAATATCAAGGAGGTCACAAAAAGAATTGCTAAAGATTGGGAATGGCTCTCTAATGTGACCAACTCTGAGAAGGCAAGGATTCTAATATTATGGGATTCTAAACTCCTAAACATCCAACAGCTGGACCTCTCAAGCCAACAGATAACTTGCAGGATTACATCTACTGATGGAAGATTCTCAAGTGTCATATCAGCTGTGTATGGATACAATAATGTTCAAGCTAGAAAGGATTTATGGTCAGAATTGTCCCTTATACATAGATCAATTGGAAGCATGCCTTGGATTATTTTTGGTGATTTTAATGCAGTCTTATGTAACGAAGAGAAACTGGGAGGATCACCAGTTATTGATTCTGATACTTTGGATTTCAGATCTTTCATTGATGATTGTCAACTCTCTCATATGAAAACTCTGGGGTGTTTTTACACATGGAACAATAAACAAGACCCGGATACAAGAGTTTGGAGCCGTTTAGACAGAGCTCTTGTAAATGATAACTGGATTCAACAGTTAAATTCTAGTCATGTGGAATTTATGGTTCCCAGGCTATCTGATCATTCTCCTGGCATAATCTCAGTTTATGAAGACTGCTCTTATGGAAAAAAGCCATTCAGATTTTTTAATATGTGGACAAAACATGCTGATTTTCTACCCACTGTGTCTGATATTTGGCGTTCTCAAATCAATGGATTCCATATGTATTCTGTCTGCACAAAGCTAAAAAGGTTGAAAGGAGCTCTGAAGACCTTGAATAGAAGACACTTTCATAATATAAGTGAGCAAGTCATAAGAGCAAAAATTGGAATGGAGGAAATTCAAAAGAAACTTCAAGATGACCCACTCAATCATACACTTATCTGTCAGGAAAGGAATTTTATTGCTATATATAACAAACTCTTGGATCATGAAATTTCTTTCTTCCAGCAGAAAGCAAGAACTGCCTGGAGTATTCAAGGTGACAGAAATACAAATCTTTTCCATTCTGCTATTAAGGCAAATAGACACAACAATAGAGTCTCAATTCTCTATAACAGCCATGGAGACAGGCTTACTGAAGGTGATAAGATAGTAAATGAGTTTGTCTCTTATTACAAAAGTCTAATGGGGACAGCAATCCATACTGATAAACCTGATAAACATATTATACAAACTGGAGCATGTCTGAATTCAAATCAAGCAAGTGAGCTTTCTAAACCTGTCACAAGTGAAGAGATTAGAGCTGCCATCTTCTCAATGCCTGACAATAAGGCCCCAGGCCCTGATGGGTTTAATGCTTATTTTTACAAATCTGCATGGTCAATCATTGGGGAGGATATTACTTTAGCAATTGGGGAATTCTTCAAATCTGGAAAGCTTTTAGGAGCTTTGAATTCTACTGCGATCACTCTCATTCCAAAGGTGCATTGCCCTAAAACCCCAGCTGATTTCAGACCCATATCATGTTGTAACTGCCTCTATAAAATCATTTCAAAAATTCTAGCAACAAGAATACAGGCAGTTATGGGAAGTTTAGTTAACGAAGCTCAAAGTGCCTTTGTAAAAGGCAGGCAAATATCAAATAATATCCTTCTTGCACATGAGCTTGTCAAAAACTATGGTAGGAAAAATCTGTCTCCAAGAGTTATGATCAATATAGACATCAGGAAGGCTTTTGATTCTATTAGTTGGGATTTCATTCAAGATATTCTGACGGATATGGGTTTTCCACTGGGTTTTATTAAATGGATCATATGCTGTATTTCCACACCAAACTATTCTATCTCTTTGAATGATAGCTTACATGGATTTTTCAAGGGAGAAAGAGGTCTAAGGCAAGGGGACCCTCTTTCCCCCTACCTGTTCATTCTAGGCATGGAATATCTGTCCAGAATGTTGAACCAGTTGAAAGAGGATAAGAAATTCAAATTTCACCCCAAGTGCAAAAATCTAAATATAACACATTTAGTGTTCGCTGATGATCTCCTTCTTTTCTGCAAAGGGGATTCTTATTCAGTGAATAGACTGTATCAATGTGTTGTAAAGTTTGGAGCATGCTCAGGTTTAGAAGCTAACCCTGTAAAATGCTCTATCTATTACGGTGGAGTATCTGATGAAACCAAGCATGAGATTGGTAATTCACTGGGGGTCCCTGAAGGTTCTCTTCCAATCAGATATTTAGGCCTTCCTCTCATAAGTAAGAGGATGTCTTACATTGATTGCAACCCTCTACTCCTGAGGATATCAAACCAGTTCCAGAATTGTTTGAAGAACAAATCTCTGTCTTATGCTGGAAGATTGCAGGTTATTAAGAGTGTTGTTTTGGGTATTCAAATTTTCTGGACAACAAGCTACATCTTCCCAGTAAAAGTGCTACAAAAAATTGATGAGCTATGTAGGTGTTTTCTATGGGGCAAATCAGAACATACTTCTAAACCCTCTTTGGGATCATGGAGAAATGTCTGTGTTCAAAAGAAATATGGAGGGTTGGGAATCTTCTCGGCAAGACTTTGGAACATTGCTACTGCTCTCAAAATGCTGTGGAGTATCCACATGAATAAGGAGCTTTTGTGGATTAAATGGTCCCATGAAAATTATCTGAAAAGTAGTAGCATTTGGATGGTAAAAGCTAGAAAGGGAGACTCTTGGATGTGGAAACAACTATTGAGTATCAGAGATAGATGTATTGATATGTGCGGAGGGATTGATAACCTCATTCAGCTTCTCAGTTCATGCTGCAACAAATCAAAAATTAAGCTCTCTGACATTTATTCCAGGCTGTCACCTATTACATCTCAAGTGGCATGGCATGATACAGTTTGGGAGGATTTAAGCTATCCAAAGCACCAGTTCATACTATGGCTGGCAGTCCAGAATAAGCTTCAAACTCAAGACAGGCTCCTTAGACATGGAATTATTCAGGCTTCAGTATGTAAGCTTTGTGACTGTTCTATCTCAGAGAGCAGAAATCACCTGTTTTTCGAGTGCACTTTGTCAAAAAAGGTTTGGAATGGTATAATGGAATGGCTCAACTTCAAATGGAGATCTTGTGACTGGTCTACCCTCTTGAAATGGTTCATTTTCAGGTTGAGGGGTAAGGGTATGAAACAAAAGATTAAGAGGATGGATTTTGCTGCAACAGTCTATACTATTTGGAATGAAAGAAACTGCAGAATTTTCAATCTGAAGAGCAAAACTCCTGACATTTTAATGAAGAATATCAAGATAGATGTCCTCACTATCATTTTGAATTCTCAGTCAGCCGATTGCAGGGAATGGGGGTTCTCCATATAGAGTACTATTGAGGAGTAGAAGGTGCACAGACAGGAGGTGCACGAACTGATCTATGCCCCTAAGATTTGTGCTTTTATGTAATATAGTCTCATTTCTGATATCTCACTGTTGAGTAGAGATTCTTGATGTACAAAATTCCTATTTTTGGAGATGAATATAATTTTTTCATTTACCAAAAAAAAAAAAAAAAAACACCAACATGCACGCAACTTTCTTCACGGAAAACAAGGACGTGAAGCAATTTTCCTCATGACATGATAAATAAGGATGTGTATCATATTCCAGTTCATGAAAAATAAAGGTGCTCATATATCCAAAATATATTGACTGATTGAGCAATAAGCAACGAAAAGAACCAAGTATATGCATTCAAATACTCCATATAAAAACTGTTGGAATATCAAAACTGGAGTGCACAAGCTTAACATATTACGTACCTTGGTGGAATATAATCATGATGTGTGTTTAAGATTGGTACTAATGAGTAATTAAACTTTCATTTCTATCTTGATCAATTGCCTTTTTCATTGCCTCCTAACATCGCTTATTAACTTATATCACTAAGGGGTTATTTGTTTCCATGCGTTTGGTAGATTTTGCACTTAAAAAATGAGGTCCACAAGTTTTTAAAATCCTAGATTTTTATCAAATACAATGTTTTCTTAACAATTTTCTTGCCATAAATTTAGGGTTGTCATGTGGATCAGATACAAAAATGTGATTCCCTAAAATTATGCAAATTTCACTCAAATTTGTGATTTTAGTCAACAATGCTCAGCAAAATCCATCCGCAATCAAACAAATTTGGTTGGATTTTATTCCCTATGCAAATACTCTTCAATATCCATTGCAAACAATCAAGACTTTTGAGTAATGATTTTTCATACTCCCCTACGTGTATCAAAATGCAATTAGAGAACAAAACGGTCATTAATTAATTGTTCATCTTACTTGTATTAGATCCCAGCAAATGTAAAGAATTAAATTGGGAAAGAAGATTCAAGATTATTGGAGGGATTGCGCGAGGTCTACTCTACTTACACGAAGAATCTCGCCTGCAAGTCATACATCGAGACCTAAAAGCCAGCAATATATTGTTAGATACAAACATGAAGCCAAAAATTTCAGACTTTGGTTTGGCTAGGCTATTTGGAGCAGCAGAAACACATGCCGTCACAAAAAGAGTGGTCGGAACTTTGTATGTCCATCCTTAAATAGACTTATTACAACTTCCATTATTTCTAACAATTGGTTTGGACCTGTGCGATTTTTTTTCCCTTTCCTTTCTAGTGGTTACATGGCACCTGAATATGCAAGGCGTGGGAGATTTTCAACCAAGATGGACGTATATAGCTACGGGATTCTAGTTTTGGAGATTGTGACTGGGAGCAGGAATATTATCTTCAAACATGATTCTAAACATGGCCAAGATCTTCTAAGCTATGTAAGTATGAATGTATACTTAGGTTCTACCTTGTTAAAGATAGAATCATAGACATAGAAGCAAACAAGCGAATCCACTTATTGTCAAACATATGATGTTCAAGTGTATGTATATACACTAAATACATAAGAAGCATTGGATATGAACTGCTATCTTATTTTGTGAAATAAGCTGCCAATAAATAAGCGTTACCTACTCCAATATGACTAGCAAGATGGACCTCGTCATGTTGTGTTGCTCATACAACAAAATAAACCATTTTTTCCACAAACATACACACACAAGTACGTACATACAAACTTAGCACGCTTTCAAACTGTATATGCAAGGGATAAAGGAATCTCCACGAGATGAATAAAAAGTGTTGGATAGCAGGTTCCTAATCTGTTTTGGTAACATGTTATTAGAATTCATAATCTGTTTTGGTAACAGGTTATTAGGATTCCTAATTTGTTTTATTTTTGGTTTTAGAATTCCTAGTCTGTTTTTATTTTAGGTTTTCTATATAGATGGAACGCCTTAGAAAAGATTAGGATTAAATAAAAAAGAGGAATCAGAGATTAGAGAGACTTTTGAGCATTGTGAGAGGGAGATATTGTGAGCAAGTTGAGAGCTTTGGTTGAGGGTTAGTTTGTGAGTTTTGTGAGATTGTAACCCTTTTTACTCTCCTTGATTTAGTGGAATCTCCCCATCCTCTCTCCGTGAACGTAGGCAAATTGTCGAACCACATATATCTCTGTGTTTGTGATTGATCTGTCGTATTTTAGTTTTGGATTGTGCTTGTGTGTGGTTGGTTATTCTTCTCCCGTGCTTACGACTTGTTTGGTGAGTGAGCATGCTTCCGCATAGGCGCGCGACAATTGGTATCACAGCTCAGATTTCAGATCTAAGGTTTTAGCATTAGGTGGAGAAAGATTCGTCGTGGAAGCTTGGTTCTTGGAGTTCTAGGCTTCGATGGAGATAGGATTTGAAGTTACCATTGGAGATCTCGCTTTCCTCGTGTGGTTAGGAGTCTATTTGGAATTCAATCTAGGGTTCAGTTGGGTAATTTCTTATTATTTTACAATTTGGAGTTTGCGAGTATGGGTGAAGAAGTTAGTGAAAGCAGCATGATGACGAGTATAGTCCAAGTTGGTTTTCAGAACACCAAAATTAGCGTGGTAAAGTATGACGGCAAGATTAACTATGGTTTGTGGATGAACGACGTTCAAGATGCGCTCAGTGCTTAGAATTTGGAGAAGACCATCATGGTCCAAGAGAGACCACCAAAATATGAAGAGACAGTATGTGAAAAGATGAATAGGAACGCTTGTGGGGTGATCAGAACCTGTTTGAAACAGGAATTAAAGTATAATATAATTAGGGTGACGTCTGCAATAAAGATGTGAGAAATTCTCATTAATAAGTACCTTACAAAGAGTGTTGAGAACCGCTAGCACTTGCTGCGAAGATTGTTCAGATTTCAGATGTCCCGAGGCACCTTACTAGCGGCTCATGTGAACAACTACACTAAGTTATTGTCGGACTTGGCGAATATTGATGAGAAGATATCGGATGAGTACAAGGTAATTATTTTGTTGGGCTCCTTACCGGATGAGGAGTATGATACCTTCGTGCTCACTTTGTTAAATGGGAGGTCTTCTCTCAACTATAGTGAAGTTACTAATGCTTTGACAAACTATGATTTGAGGAGGAATGACAAAGAGACTTCACACGCTAGTACTTCAGGAGAGACCTTGTCGACGAGAGGTAGAAGCCCATATTCAAAAGGTTGTAATAGAGGAATGTCAAAGTTAAGACGTCGTCACCAGTTAGCGAAGAACTAGTGTGCGTTCTGCAGGGAACAAGGGCATTGGAAAATAGACTGTCCAAAGATTAAAGAGAAGGAGAATGACAACCTCGAGCTCAAGGTATTTGGTTGCCCTGCATATTAACATGTTAGAACTGATAAGTTGGAACCTCGGGCTAGGAAGCACATATTTGTAGGATTTAAGCGTAGTGTCAAAGGATATAAGTTATGGAATCTAGTTGATACAAAGATTATGCTGAGTAGGGACATCACATTTGATGAGATTTCTATCTTGAATATTCCCAGCTCTCATTAGGTGGAGAGCACCCCGATAGAGGAGATATTGCAGGTGGTGGAGATTGATGCAGCTCCACATTGTGCAGATGATACAATATCTATTAGAGTGCCGACTAAGGTGACGTCAGGCGAGCACGGCAATGACGAGGAGGATACGGGTATAGTTGTGTAGGATTAGAGACCGACGACTCAGGTTTAGGATTCTATTGGGGTTCAGAGACAGAGAAGAGACATACGGATGCCAGCATGGTATACTGACACTGTAGTTACATATGCACTTCTGGTGGAGAGTATCGATGAGATGGTGCCTACTACATTCAGAGAGGCCGAGCAGAGTTCGGAGGCTGATTCGTGGTAGGTGGCTATGTAGGAGGAGATGAAGTCTCTTCACAAGAATAATACATGGGAGCTTGTTGAGCTTCCAAAGGGGTGGTCTCTTCACAAGAATGATACATGTGAGTTTGTTGAGCTTCCAAAGGGGCGAAAGGCGATTGGTTGTGAGTGGGTATACACGAAGAAGGAGGGCATTGAAGGCACCCCATTGAGGTTCAAGGCTAGGTTGGTTGTGAAGGACTATGCATAGGAGGAAGGTATTGATTATAATGATGTTTTCACTCCGGTGGTGAAGCATTCTTTGATTTGGCTTTTGATAGCTTTGGTGGCACAGTATGGATTGGAGTTAGATCAGTTAGATGTGAAGACGATATTTCTTAATTGTGATCTTGATGAAGAAATATATATGACTCAACTATTGGGATTCTGAGCAACAGGAAAGTAAAACCTGGTTTGTCGGTTGAAGAAATTGCTATACGGTTTGAAGCAGTCTCCTCGACACTGGTCTTATATAGATGAGTTGAAGACATATCTTTCAAAAGAGTTTGAGATGAAGGATTTAGGTGAGGCTAATGGTATTTTGGGGATGGAGATCGATAGAGACAAAGAGAAGGGCAAAATTTGTTTGATACGGGTGACTTATTTGAAAATGGTTCTACAGCGATTTCATGTTAGCATGGATACGAAGTCAGTTAGTGTACCTTTGGAAGCCCATTTGAAGCTTTCAGCTGACCTCTCACCGAAGACAGTTGAAGATCGAGAGTTGATGTCGGAGACTCCACATGCGAGCGCGGTTGGGAGCTTGATGTACGCGATGGTATGTACGAGGCAAGATATGTCACAGGCAATGAGCATGGTTTTGAGATACATGCACGATCCAAGAGTGGGTCATTGGGACGCCGTGAGATGGATTTTGAGGTACATTCGAGATACGCTCAATGTTGGTTTGGTTTATGAGCGAGACACTACAAGTGGGCAGTTGTGCATTGGCTATGTTGATTCAGATTATGCCGGAGATTTGGAAGCGCCGGTCTACTACGGGGTATGTGTTCATTTTGACCTGTTCACATTGATGTTCGTTATCACTTCGTTCGAGATGTTCTTGAAGATGGCGATGTGGAGATTGTGAATGTCCATACGAAGGATACTCCGGCGGATATGCTCACTAAGGTGGTTCCGAGCAACAAGTTTGATCATTGTCGAAACTTGTTGCACATTCGTGATTGTTGAGGCCGTTGACAACCATTTGGATGAACTACGGCCGACTTGATCCCTTGGGAGAGGGGGTACGTAGGCAACCACATTAGTGCAGCCGAATTTGGTGAGACGACGCATTGGTGCTTATGTTGGTGTCGGCTCAGTTTTGGGAATACTTCGCCGATGTGGAGAATTGTTGGATAGCACGTTCCTAATCTTTTTGGTAACATGTGATTAGGATTCCTAATCTGTTTTGGTAACATGTTATTAGGATTCCTAATTTGTTTTGTTTTTTGTTTTAAAATTCCTACTCTGCTTTGATTTTACGTTTTCTATATATATGGAACGCTTTAGAAGAGATTAGGATAAAAAAAAGAGGAGATTTGTAATCAGAGATTAGAGAGACTTTTGAGCATTGTGAGAGGGAGATATTGTGAGCAAGTTGAGAGCTTTGGTTGAGGGTTAGTTTGTGAGTTTTGTGAGATTGTGTAACCCTTTGTACTCTCCTTGATTTAGTGGAATCTCCCTATCCTCTCCCCATGGACGTAGGCAAATTGCCAAACCACGTATATCTCTGTATTTGTGATTGATCTATCGTAATTTAGTTTTGGATTGTGCTCGTGTGTGATTGGTTATTCTACTCCCGTACTTACGACTTGTTTGGTGAGCGAGCACGCTTCCGCATATGCGCGCGACAAAAAGCACCTAACCAAATGGACCCCCACCTTAATAAAGACTAGAATCTTGTATTAAAATAATTGTTTGTTATATTTATTTTGAATTTAATATTAAGTGTTTAATAGTCTATTTATGTATGCTAGAGGTCACTTTTTTTTACTGTAGGCATGGAAGCATTGGAGAAAGGGAAAATCATTAGAGATCGTTGACCCATCACTGGGTGAAGATTACTCGAGAAATGAGGTGTCTAGATGCATTCAAATTGGACTGTTATGTGCTCAAGAAGCTCCAGCTGATAGACCTTCCATGTCTTCGGTATTTCTCATGCTAAATAGTTCCTCAATGCCTCTCCAGGATCCTTTGCCGCCTGCTTTGTTGAGTACAATAGAATCAGATTTATCAATGAAACTGTCATCAAAACAAGCATATCTTAGTTCTACTGATGAATCTTCTGCAAGTAAGTAGCGACAAATTTCAGCAAATGTTAATCTGAAACTATCTATATAACCTAGCTAGATATTGACCCAGTAAGATTACATAGTCCACTAACTACTATATATATTATTATATATATATATATATATATATATATTATATATATATATATAATACATATAGAGAAGAAGAGAGCTCTTTGAGACGACGAGAGAGTGAGAGTGATGCAGATATGGGTATGCTTGGCTACCAAGCCACAAAAAATTATGCTTGGTAGGCTGCAGGCTGTCAAATCCCCCTCCACTCATTCAAATGTTGGAACAAATTCACTAATGGGTCAGTGAGTGGATGCAGGCATGTTGCACACATCACTACCAAGCACCAATTTGCTGTTTTTTTTACTCGGTACCAAAGCATACCAATTTCTCATACTTATATATATATATATATATAAATATATTACTATATATATGATATGACTAAAATTGCGAACTATAGGATTACTAGTGATGAACCCAATTATTGAATCTCAATTTTTTCATAATTTCATGAGCAGTTTACTATGGAAGAATTCAATACTTAACGAATTCCTGCAAATAACATATCTAACGAATTCCTGCAAATAACATATCTCAACCCATTAGATGTAGACAGTGTTGGCAGTTCCCAACAGAGTGGACCTAGCGTCACGCTGAATCCACCGGAAGCGAACCAAAAAGGGAAGGAAAGGGTGCAAAACCACCTCATAAGGAACCAAGCACTTAACAACCACAGGAAGCAGGCACAGGCATTTGGACTTATCTCACACAGCGCCTGATGGTCGTCCTAATAGAAATTGACCTGTACAGCAACCGGGTGATTTATAAAAGTTGCGAGATTGATTAATCCCTATAATTATACCAATCATCTGATACTGCGAGGTCCTAAAAGAGAGATCAAGATAACAAAGGAGAGAGCAAGTATCAACAAAGCAATATGGATGTCTCAACAATATAGATGCCTGAACGAGGAAAAGGAGGAAGATCATTTTCTTTGAATCTTCGATACATCAATGCAAAACATCATACACAGCTTGTCTCCCATTATCTATCATTTGTTGAATATGCCTAAATCTATCAGACTGTTTACTCATATGGTCATTTTTATCTATATATGCCTAAATCTATCATTATCTATCATTGTCTATCATTAACACATGAGCTTGTCTCTCATTATCTATCATTTGTTCAATATGCCTAAATCTATCAGACTGTTTACTCATATGGTCATTTTTATCTATACAATGAGATACACAGCTTGGATGCTACGTGCCTGTGCTCACGATCATTTGTACGCAGATTTCCAGTGTGGCCCAGATATAGAAATTACATAGGCAAACCAAGCTTCCATATGAAACCAATTAAACAACAACAAATAACTGGCATGCACAAAATTAACCCATATCACGAAATAAATATGTGAATTATCTTGGTTAAACTTATAGCCACCTAACTTACACACAGTACAACCTTGACTTGACATTACAAAATCTGATGGGCTATAGCCTATAGGAGATCATATGCTAAACATCCAACTTTTGAGTAAATAATACTAAATGGAAAATAGAAAAAGAGGAGGATTTAGAGCCAAACCGCTATGGGGCTTTTCCTCAGGTAATGATTCTATCATAACACCCTAATACCATTCATTGTTGGTCAGAGGGTGGTAATTAAGAGGGTTAATTTGAGAATTACAGTTTCTTTATTTATAGTGTAGATCACCCAACTTCTATGGGGGTGGTTCTGATAGGATCTTACTGCTTTTCCTCAAATAGGTGGTGGGCTTATCAAACATTGGGTAAAAGTATACTAAACACCCTTGAATGCCTTCAAATAAAAATAGTAAAAAGGGATCAACCAGGAGTTTACTTTTAGCTGCTGCTGGATTACTAACGAAGGATTTTTTGGGATATTAGTCCTCTAAACCTTTAATATTTTGAAATTATTAAAGGTATAGTAAACATCATTGAATACCTTCAAATTAAAATAGTTAAAGGGGATCAACTATGAGTTTACTTTGTGCTGTTGCTGGATTATTGATGAAGGCTTTTTTGGGATATCAGTCCTATAAACCTTTAATATTTTGAAATTAGTCCATCAAATCATTGAAATAGCCAATAGGTTCCCTAATTTATTATATATAGCCTCTCCAATCAAGAGTAACAATAGCAAGATATAAGTGGGAATCTAATAGCAATTCCAATGATTTCTGAGAATAATTTAAAATTATTATAGATTTAACGGAATAATATAGGTAAAAAACCCTACTTAAGCTAAATTACAAGATTGACTTATAAAAGTGACCATCCTTTACCACTTTGGTCTATAAATTAATCCCGGTGGCACTTTGGCATGAAGAGTGAGAAAGATGCAACAATTAGACATTTTTGATTGCTAGTGACAAGTTTGACCATGAAAATTATGTATTTTTTGCATATATATCCTTCACACATTTCAAATTTACAGATTCCCCCCCAATTCTATTATTTGCAAAAAAACCAAAATCTTCCTCTCTTCCTCCATCCCTCCCTCATCCCCTTGCTCTGGCCACTTCCTTTCACCTTCCAATCATCAATAACACAACCTCCACCTTCTCTCTCATACCCATCGAAGAAGTTAAAATAGTGTTAGAATCTGAGAATGAGGGAAAGGAGGTGGTAAGAGTCAAGATGTGGGAAAGGAGGGAGCAAGAGAGTGGAAGGGAACTGGAGAAGGTTGGGGATCGGGAGCAAAAGAGAACGGAGGAGACGTGGGCAGGAGGAGGCAGGAGATGGTGAGAAGAGAGGGAGGGTTTTTTTTTATTATCACAAAATTTAGAATTTGGAGCATAAATCTAAAAAGGAAAATGATTTAAGCACCCAAAATATGGGACTAAAGGAGGGGACAGGTGAGGTGTCCCCTTCCTATTGCATAATGAGTTGGCATGGCCAACTCATTATGCAATAGGGAGGGGACATCTCACCTGTCCCCTCCCTTGATCTCATATTTTGGGTCCCCGTAGCAGCACTCATCTAAAAAATATGCAAGATTTGAAGTGTATAGAAGCAAAATTTTCTTAATTGTTTCACTCAAAACAAGCTGCCGACGGTCGAAAATACGTAATTGTCTCAACTTTGTCGCATTTTATGCCAAAGTATCGTTGGCGTCAACATGAGTTGGAACTAGACTACTATTAATGGAGTCCAATATGTGAACTTATCTATCCAAATCTAATTTCAATTCCCAAAATTGAAATGGTTGCGCTGTTGAATGTGATGTACGACATATCAAGTGCATATATTTCAAATGATTTTGATGTTTTAATCATGTATCAAGCGACAAAATATTAAGCAACTTCATAAAAACTATGAATGTTTATTTTGACAATTTATGATACATGGATATCCTTCAAAAATGTATTCCTATATAGTTGAAATATGCTATATGACATCCAATGGCAATCAAAATAATAGATTTGAATTTATAACATCCACATATTTGATACTGTTAATAAGTAGCCTGGTTCCAATTCTTTAAATATTTTAATTGGCACTCAAACTCTTATATCCAAATATTATTATCTCTTTGTTATAACTAGTATTTAGATCCGTGCAAAGCCCGGTTTCTAAAAAAAATTCTACAAATATTGAACATATTACAAAAATAAATTATTCTGCTTTAGATATGAATTATAGAGGTGCTTTTTGCTTTTTTTATTCGTTCAGATATTCGATCAAGTTTGATTCAATAGTTCATTTAGTACCAATTGTCCAACACCATATGACTCAACTGCATTTATTTGTATACATAATGGTAGATCCATAATTGTGACAGTGGGGGCCACGAAAGTGAACGCGTGAACCTTTCCTGTGACAACCGCCCACACTTGAATGTCAATTTGCAGGCCCACCCGAATGGGAATTTTTCGCTATATATATACCTAGTTTTTCTAGGGTTTAAAGTGTGCAAGGAGGCAAATTGACAGCGCTTAGGAAAAAAGGGCGGTTGTGCAAAAGGAGGCAGGGGTTTCAAAAGCGGCGACCGATTCGTGCATACGCAGAGAGGGTGTGC